CCTACAAAATGAAGAAATATTAGCAGTTGGGAAACTTGTTGGGAATTTATACATTCTGGACAAAAACAGTCTCCATTTTAGGAATTTTTCTATATGTAATTAGACAGAAACACAAGCTATGTCAGCTAAGTGTTCATCTCCTGCTTGTAACATTTATTTTTCTACTAATAAAGTGGATCATTGTTCATTATCTCTTTGGCATAAGAGACTTGGTCATAGCTCTTTGAGTGCATTGCATCACTTACAATTTATTGATAAATCCATTGATGCATCTTTTTCAGATTGTGATGTGTGTCACAAAGCAAAACAGTCTAGGTTACCTTTTCCTATAAGTCGAACCATATCCCTTAAACCTTTTGATTTACTCTATTTGGATCTATGGGGTCCTTATAAAGTAAAATATGTTACAGGAGCACATTATGTACTGACTATTGTTGATGATCACAGTAGGGCAGTGTGGACATTTCTCCTTTCCCACAAAACACAAACATTCACTACTTTGCAAAATTTATTTCATCTTGTAGAAACCCAATTTGATGCTAAAGTTAAAAGCATTAGAACTGACAATGGAACTGAGTTCCTCAATTCAAATTGTCAACAACTATTTCATACATTAGGTATTATACATCAGAAAACCTGTGTCTACATATCTCAGCAGAATGGTATTGTTGAAAGAAAACATAGGCATTTACTTCAAGTAGCTAGAGCCCTGATTTTTCAAGCTAATATGCCTGTTATGTTTTGGGATCATGCCATCCTCATGGCAACTCATATCATTAATAGATTAGCAACCTCAGTCCTTCAATGGAAATCCCCGTATGAACTACTATTTAAACAGATTCCTACCTATGATTTTTTCAAGGTTTTTGGTTGCCTTTGTTATGCAACCAATGCACTGCCACACAAGGATAAATTTGCACCCAGAGCTAATAGGTGTTGTTTCATTGGTTATAGTCAAGGTCAAAAAGCTTTTAAGCTTTATGATATGTCTTCTAAAACAATGTTTGTTTCTCGAGATGTATTTTTCCTTGAACATATTTTCCCTTTCTCTACTGATTCTACTGCAAACAAGTCTTCATGTATGCCACTAATTCCTTCTGTTTTTGAAGACTTGTTTCCTACAGAAAATACTTGCTTACCTGCCACATCTCACCCACAATCTACATTTGATTTTGATGTTTCTGATTCTATACCTTCTGCTGAGTTAGAAACTCATTCATCACCTAGAGTTGATACTTTTCTGCATACTTAACCTATTATTGATGAATTGATTCCTAAAAATGTGTCTCCTAATCATGTAAAACTGCATTCACAGTCTAAGCAAAGTCTTAGACCTAAACAGCCACCAAAATGGATGAATGATTATGTTCTACATTGTCATAATTCCCAACAGATCTCAACTATTGATAAATCTCATTTTTCTTCCGTTCATACACCTCCAACTTACCCTTACATTGATCCTTCTTGTTTATCGCACACATATATTAGTTTCTTAGCTAATGTCTCAATAATCCAAGAACCTACTTCTTATCATCAAGCTTGCCAACATCCTGCTTGGATTAAAGCTATGAATACTGAACTTGATGCCTTAGAATCCAACCATACTTGGGAATTGGTTCCATTACCACCTGAAAAAAAACCAATTGACACAAAATGGGTTTACAAAATTAAACTTAAACCAGATGGAAGTATAGATAGATACAAGGTCAGATAAGTGGCCAAAGGCTACAATCAAATTTATGGGGTGGACTATTTAGAAAGCTTTTCTCCAGTTGCCAAACTTGTTACAGTGAGAATTTTCTTAGCCATTGCTATTGCCCACTCTTGGCCATTACATCAATTAGACATTAACAATGCCTTTTTACATGGTTATTCGGATGAAGAAGTCTATTTGTTTCCCCCTGATGGTTATTCTAAGGCACAAAATAGAGAGGTTTGTAAACTCAAAAAATCCTTATATGGCCTGAAACAGGCTTCCAGACAATGGAATCATGAATTCTACACTAAGTTGCTGGCCTATGGTTTTATTCAATCCAAGCATGATCATTGTCTCTTCACTAAACCTTCTGCAGATAGTTTCTTGGCTCTAATTGTTTATGTTGATGATGTTTTAATAATGGGACCTAATGAAAGTGATATTGCAGTAGTTAAGGCTTATCTACATTCTGTTTTTACTATCAAAGACTTAGGATATGCCAAATACTTCCTTGGGATAGAAATAGCTCGCTCTTCCGAGGGAACTTTTATCAATTAAAGGAAATATATTTTGGATATCCTTGAAGACACAAGTTTGGTTGGTACAAAGCCTGTTTCTACTCCCTTTCTCAAAGGTTGCAAGCTTAGTTCAGAATCTTCCAATCCTCTATATTCTCCTTATCAATATAGAAGATTAATTGGTCAATTGTTGTGTCTTAATTTGACAAGACCTGACATTAGCTTTGTTATTCAGCAGCTGAGTCAGTTTGTTAACTCTCCTTGCCAAGAACATTGGGATGCTGCTTTATACATCCTGCAGTATCTAAAGGGATGTCCTTCTAAAGATTCATTTTTTCCAGCTCACGCTTCCTTTACAGTCACAGCTTATTGTGATGCTGATTGGGCTTCTTGCCCTGATTCCTCTCACTGGCTATTGTGTGTTCCTTGGCTCTTCTCTTATTTCGTGGAAGAGAAAGAAACAAATTACAGTTTCTAAGTCCTCTACAGAAGCTGAGTACAGAAGTATGGCAGCCACAGTTTGTGAGTTACAATGGATTTCCTATTTGCTTTAAGACTTGCTGATTTCTTTCTCACTGCATATTACTCTTTGGTGTGATAATCGAGCTGCCCTACACATCACTGCTAATCCAATTTTCCATGAACGTACTAAGCACTTGGAAATTGATTGTCATGTGGTTCAGGATCAATTCAAGGCAGGTTTCATCACTCCCCAGTACATTCCATCTTCACACCAACTTGCTGATTTTTTCACAAAACCTCTTACTGTTCCTTAGTTTACATATTTCTTGTCCAAGTTGGGCTTAGGTGATTGTCACCTAGCTCCAACTTGAGGGGGGTATGTAGGAATTAAATAATCTGGAAGGGGTATTTATGTAATTCAACAGTTATTAGTTGTAACACTTTTACCTTATTTTAGCTGGTTTGTTAAGTTGTTAATCTGTTAGTATTAATTAGTTGGATTAGTTGCTTAATTAGTTAGTTAGTGAGTAATGAGTTAGCTACGCTTTGTAAAAGTCAAGAGCATTATTCAGAAATTTTTCTTTTCCTCTGTTCATACAAGATGTTGGACCAAACCTATTATCCCAATTTAGCATTTTAATTATGTCATTGATCATAATATTAAAAAAAAAAAATCCAAAAAATGCATCGAATCAGTATGAAATCTTTTGTATCGATGACTATATATATATAACTTTTTTCGACCCAAATAATGGCTTAAATAATACTTTTCTACCCACAGACTTTTAAAATACTATTTTACTGCCTAAATTTATATTCAGGTGATGAAAAGAGAGTAAACTCGATCTAGACTGTTAAGGCTTTTGAAGAGAGAAGGACGATGAGCCTTTTAGTGGTGAAATATTAGATTTTGGTGGTTAGGATTAATTAGAATTTGAATTGGGAGAAGTGGCTGCACAAACTCTAATTACTCAATTGCTAGCAATTGGCGGGATCAATAGAAGTAGGGTTTAAGAGATTTTGGTGAGTGATGATCGGGAAAAAAAATGGTAGTGATGAGAGGTCGCAACGATGCCAAAATCAGAAACGGAATATAAATTTGAATAATAAAATGGTATTTAAAAATCTGTGAGTGAAAAAGTGTCATTAAGTCATTGTTTGGGTAGGAAAAAATCGTTTACTATATATATATATATATAATGGAAAGAATATAACATAGTGATTCATTATTGGAGGTGAATTAATTTGAGGGTCTAGGTCCAATGGTGGCTTAGAAACGACAACAGATCGAATCTAAGGTGTGAACTAGAGATTTTGCTTTGACCCTATGCGCAATTGTTTATATAATATCAAATTAATTGCATAGGTCCTTATCTTGTCGTTTCTAAGCCACCATTGGACCTAGACCCTCAAATTAATTAACTTCATTCCATCATCTTCCACCCAAAACCTCAAGCTTTGGAAGTTATGTAAAAGTGCTTCCAAATAACTACTCTGATCCTGTACTGTGGTTAAAATTCAACGTTACATAGATGATGGGATAGGATTGTTTTCTTTTACAAACATTATCCTGAATTGATTTCTCTTTAAAGTTGACATGTTTTACTCCTATTGCCATGTTTTGCTCTCACTTTTGATGGTAGACCCTCTTAACTCTATCCACACAATAGCAACTGGATTGGACCAATCAGAGGGGCACGACAAATGTTTTTTTTACTAATAATTTGAAAAACTTTTTAATTTTCTTTAAATAGAAATCCCATTGCCAAATTTAATTATATAATGATAATAATCCAAGCTCAAACATTTTTTTTTTTAATGGTATCGAGACTCACCTTGGAAACTATCTAATCCTCAAGGTAATGGAATACCCTACAAGATCATACTTGTTTTTTGACATCTTTTACAATAGGATCATAATATAATTTGCATACACATAATTTTAAAGGTAAAAGACCACAAATATCGGTGATTAATTCCTTCTCCAATCATGAGTTTGGACCAAGTTTATCTCTTTATCTTGTTGGTGTTTATATCAATCTCTTGATTCTCCAAACCATATTTAAAATTTGAAATCTAAAACAGCAATATCCCATTATAATTGTGTACAATCCACACAAAACTCTTTATTTTATTAAATAGATGTTTAATCAATAACCCATACATATTTTCTGAATAATTATTTTATAATTGTACCTAACTTAACGCTTTAAGGATGGTAAATTGGTAATGAGTGTAGTAGTCCAACACATGAGAAGTTATGTAATCTTAGAATTAATCCNGTGGCTGGGAGTATAATTGGAGGAATGAAAGAGACGCAAGAGATGGTTGATTTTGCAGCAAAACACAACATAACAGCTGATATTGAAGTTATTTCAATGGATTATGTGAACACTGCTATGGAGAGACTTGGTAAGGCTGATGTCAGATACCGATTTGTCATTGATATTGGGAACACCTTGGCAGCTACCAAGCCTTGATGACTATTGGCGTATTTCTAAGTTTTTCACATTGCTTCGAATTTTTTTGAGTGCTAAAATGCACACCTAGTTTCCGCAAAGATTTATGTTATAGAATATCACTACATGGCATCATGTATTACAATATATTCTAAGTCCTCAATAAAGTATAAAACAATAACAGATGTTTTTTATTCTTTGTTCAGTCACTTTAACACAGTGTGATAGAATTACGTTGCGTGCTATTCTAACTTGAATTAAGTTGACCCAGCAAGTGATAGATGTGGTTTCTTAGGAATTTCATCAAACATATGGTAATGATTCACCAAATTGACTATGTCCGTCTAGTTTTCGATTTTACTGGGGCTTGAAAATAGTAAAGATGCAAAGGTATCTACCACTACCTACTTCACCTTTCAACCTTAGTCTTGCGACAGCACGTTTATATTTAATTTGTATGTTACAGGCTCCCACACTTTTATTTTGTTGTTACTTTGTTAGAATACCCTCTCAGGTATACGGTAATGAGTCAATGACACTAGTTACAAAGTTACATAAAAACTCTAAATTGGAAAAATTACAATATATATAAAGTAAACAAATCACAAAACCTTCGTCAAACTTAGATAAACAAAAGATAAATGCTGAAAACAATCTCTTTTTCATTCTTATTTTATTTGGGTGCCAACAACACAACTCGTATTTTATTTTATCTAAATATCAAACCTTATAAAATGATACATGTTAGCCCTTCTCAGATAAATTTTTGGGTTATTATCTCTCTCCTTCCCTAAGGTTTGCATTTTTTCTCCATGACACCACTCAAGTTTAAAATAGCTTCCTCATCTTTCCTCAGATTTCAATCATTCTCGCAAACCTTCCTTATCTACTGTTTGCTAACAAAATCTGCTAAAGGAAAAATACTCTATACCCCCTGAGTATATATATTTCAAAAAACCCCTTAGAGTATAATTGTATTTATTAATTTTTTTTATTTTAGTGGAATTAGGGGTAAATAAGGTATTTAATTGGTTTTGGAGTTGAGAGCAACTTGTTTTTTTGTTAACACGGGGTTGAGAATAATTGCAAATATCTGAGGGCCTTTTTTAATATAGATATCTGTAGAGGGGTTTAGAGTAATTTTTTTAAAGAAAAATATAGTAAACCTAACAGATTCTGTTAGCAAATGGTAGAGAAGGAAGGTTTGAGAGAATTATTGAAATCTAAGGGGAGGTGAGGAAGCTATTTTAAAATTGAGGGGTGTCAACAAAAACGGTGACTACATTTCACTACCTTCTCTCTTATAATTATTCATATTCAGCTCTACGCTACCACATTTTTTACTTCCAAAAAATGGCCAAAGTCACCAGAAGAACAACACCCTATAAAGGCTTTTGGGTGGGCAGCTATTGACCCTTCTGGTCATCTCTCCTCCTTCAAATTCTCCAGGAGGTAATCAATAATTAAACAATACTATATTAATTAAACAATACTATATGGGTGCGTCTGGTTTGGGGTCATATATGATTACTCCGGTAATCTTTGTTTAATTTTCAAGATTTCTTTGTTTACTTTGCAAGTAATAAAATATTACAGTAATCTTTTATTGTAAATAGTATTTATTGTTGGTAATATATGGCGTAATTAGATTACCTTACTAGGGGGTGTTATATTACCTCATTCGGTCACCAAGTATGTCACCCCACCGTAATATATTACCTCACCAACACTACTATAAATATTTCTCACTCACAAATTACCTCACCATCCATCCTAATGCTCGTGACTACATTTTACTGCCTTCTCTCTTATAATTCTTCATTTTAAGCACTACGCTACCACATTTTTTCCTCCCAAAAAATTGCCAATTCACCGGAAGAACAACACCCTGTAAAGGCTTTTGGGTGGGCAGCCACTGACCCCTTCTGGTCATCTCTCCCCCTTCAAATTCTCCAGGAGGTAATCAATAATTAAACAACACTATATGTATTTTTGTTTTTAATATTGCATTGAGTTTCAGTAACTTTTTAGCGTTAGTCAGATCACAAAGCTCTAAAAGGAAAAACATCATAACAATAAATAAATTTGCAGGGAAACAGGTGATGAGGACGTGAGATTTAAGGTGTTATATTGCGGGATATGCCACTCTGATCTTCACAGTATCAAAAATGAATGGGGCAACTCTATCTACCGTATGGTTCCGGGGTATGTATCCTCCTTTCTTATTTTTCCTAACATTTAATATGCTCTTCTTCTATTTTTGCACAAAACGAGCAATTGGAGAAATACTATTATGGCTTAGGACAAGAAAAGAGCCACTTTATTTCTAGTCGAAAGATGCTTGTTACATATGTGGCCATCAAAAGATTAACTTCATTGGTTGTCTCTTATCTTGATCTTTTTTGATGTATTCCCTAGTTCAATCCATTCCATACACGTTAAATTGGATTCCTAATTCAACTTAACCTTAACCATCAAAAACATGATTTGCAGGCATGAAATCGTAGGAGAAGTGACAGAAGTGGGTGGCAAAGTAACGAAGGTTAAAGTTGGAGATAAAGTTGGTGTTGGATGCTTGGTTGGTGCATGCCACTCCTGTGATAACTGTGTAAATGATCTTGAAAATTACTGTCCCAAATGGACACTCACTTACAACTCCATTAACACTGATGGAACAATCACATATGGAGGCTATTCCGATCATATGGTCGCCAATCAACGCTACATTGTTCGGTTCCCTGATAACATGCCACTTGATGCCGGTGCTCCTCTTCTCTGTGCCGGGATTACAGTTTATAGCCCCTTGAAATATTATGGATTAGCCAAAGCAGGAAAGCACATTGGCGTGGTCGGCCTTGGTGGGCTTGGTCATGTGGCTGTTAAATTTGCCAAGGCTTTTGGAGCTAAAGTGACAGTAATTAGTACCTCCCCAAGTAAGATGAAAGAAGCTTTGGAACATCTTGGTGCTGATTCATTTTTGGCTAGCCGTGTGCCTGAACAAATGCAGGTAATTAGGGTACTTTAAAGATGCCAAATGATTTGTTCTCATGGGTACATTCCCGTACTTGAAACAAATTAAATTTTAGATTTTTAGTAATTTTTTTTTTTAAAAAAAAAATTTGCAGGCTGCCGTGGGTACATTGGATGGTATTATCGATACGGTGTCTGCAGTCCATCCACTTTTGCCATTGCTCAGTCTATTGAAGTCCAATGGAAAGCTTATTATGGTTGGTGCCCCAGAAAAACCACTAGAGTTGCCAATCTTTCCTTTACTTATGGGTAAGTTTAAGATTAAGAGAATAGCACAATCTTTTAGGTAATATTATCTGAAACTGAACTGCAGAGTTGATTAATAACTAATGTGACGACAGGAAGGAAGACCGTGGCTGGGAGTATAATTGGAGGAATGAAAGAGACGCAAGAGATGGTTGATTTTGCAGCAAAACACAACATAACAGCTGATATTGAAGTTATTTCAATGGATTATGTGAACACTGCTATGGAGAGACTTGCTAAGGCTGATGTTAGATACCGATTTGTCATTGATATTGGGAACACCTTGGCAGCTACCAAGCCTTGATGACTAGATTGGCGTATTTCTAAGTTTTTTCACATTGCTTTGAATTTTTTTGAGTGCTAAAATGCACCAGGTTTCTGCAAAGATTTATGTTATAGAATATCACTGCATGGCATCATGTATTACAATATATTCTAAGTTGTCAATAAAAGTATAAAACAATAACAGATGTTTTTTATTCTTTGTTCAGTCACTTTAACACAATGTTATGGTATCCACTCATTTGTATCACACACATTTTCACGAACAAAAAATTATATTTAAGTTCTATATCAAACATGTCAATAGATTTTCCTCCATATAATTTACAAACTCTAATTAAGTGAAGAATACACTAATGTTCTAACGTAATTAACTGTTCTGAGGGTTTGTATTATCCACCACCCCTAAGAGATCAGCACACCCAAGGTTTGGAAAATGATTGAGAGCATTATTACACTTACAACTCTTTTATACAACTTTGATTTGTCAGTTTGTAATTAATCATTTTGCAGTTGGTATTGTCTGCCTAAATTCAAATTGATTAATCGTGAGTTTTCACCTCAATATTGTATATAAATGTTGTATGAAAAATTTTTATGTTTTTTTTTATTGAAGGATTAAATAACCCCTTGACATTAAAACAACGTTTAAAAAAGTCAATTGAAGTCAGATAAAACAATGGTAATTTAGTCATTTACCAAAGCAAATGTCAAATGCCCTAAATCAATGGGCACTTTGGTCTGCTTGCAAAATTAAAAAATCAAAAGGTTCTCCTCTCTTCCATCTCTCTTTTCAATTCAACCCTGACAGTCTCAGTAATACTACACTCACAAACTCTTCTCGCTAACTTTCTCTCACAAACACGAGGTGTCGACTCGTAATTGATCAGGTCGCAATAGGTCCTGTCCAACGAAATGCAAGCTAACCAATTACAAGCTATCATGTCAACTTTAGTGAAAAAAGTTTATGAGAAGTGTTTGTCAACCTATCGTTATTTTTTTGCAAAATGGTAAAATCTGCAGTTGTTGAATCCATCAACCTCACTGTCGTCAACTGCTTCTGTTTTTTTTTTTTTAATTTTCTTTTTGAATGGAAGGTTGGATAAATTTGTAAGTTTGGTTTTCGTTGAGAGTGATTACTGAATATTGTGGCGGTAAATTTGTCGAAGAAAAGTGTTGGAATGGTAGTGTCGCTGAGTGGTTTTGTTCCAGTTGATTCAAGACTGTTAGCTACTCGGTTTAAGAACTTTTTTATTTTTTTGGTTAAATTGTGTTAGGTGTTTGGATAGTTGGTGCTGGGTGTTTAAGAATTTTCACGATATGGATGGTCCACTCCCATGGAACCTTTGCATCCTGTTTTGCTGCAAATCTTCAGTGTAAAATTATGAAGGGTGAGAATTTTCCGTAGAAAACGGAAGACAAAAATGAGATAGAAGGAAAGAAGATGAAAGAGAATATGAATTTCTTTAAAAAGAGAATTAGTAAATAATGAAAAGGTTAAAATAGGTAACTGAAATAGGGAAAAATAGATTTTCCCAAATAAATTAAAAAATAAAAAACAAAAAAAAAAAAAAATTGGTGAATGTGATGAGTTTAGCACTTCTTTGCCATGTCACTAGCCAAGTCAACAAGTTGTTTTTAATGTTTGAAAAGTCAAATATTCTAGCTTATTGAAATGCTGACGTTTTGGAGAATAAAATACCACTTTTAGCTCTTGTCTTCGTGACATTAATTCACATATAGCAAAAACAAATTTAGTTGCTCTCTCTCTTTTGCAATGTCGCACCATTCAGTTAAGATTCTTCTTGATCTTCATCCTACGATTGGAAGGAATCTTGATTCCAGGTGGAAGCTAATGCTGAGACCCTATGATTATTTAAAAACTCACCCCTGGTTAACAGAGAGTGAGAGAGAGTTGATTGGATTCAAAGAGGGCTAGGGTTTATCAATTAATCAGGTGTGATTCTTCCATGTTATTGGGTTTAGAGGTTAATATGATCTGTAAATTTAAGAATATTGTTGATTCAATGAAATACTCCCTTACCTTGGAGAGTGGACGTAGGCCTTGAGTGCTGAACCATTATAATCGACTGTCTCCTTTATTTTTTCTCTTTATATCTTGATGTCTATTGATTGACCTATGGTTGATTGTTTTTTAATCTTATTGGGATTGTTCATCTGAGAGCGTAGTTTTATTATATTTGATCAAAGAAACTCTAACAAATTGGTATCAGAGCTTGGTTGCATTATTAAACATGTTTACCAAATTTGAGTTGAAGAAATTTACAAGTACCAACGATTTTGGGCTTTGGAAAATGAAGATGGAGGTTGTACTGGTGAAAGAAGGCTTGGCTTTGGCGTTGAAAGATAAATCAAAGCTTCCAGCATCCATGACAGTAGTTAAGAAGAAGGAGATGTTGGATAAAGCAAAGAGTTCCTTAATTCTTGGGATGAGTGATAAAGTTCTTCGGGAAATCAAAAAGGAGAAGACAGCCCTGAGATTTGGAGTAAGTTAGACTCTCTTTATTTATCTAAAGCTATAACTAATAGACTATATTTGAAACAGCAACTGTTTGGGTTCAAAATGGATGAACAAAAGTCTTTAAAGGATAATAAGGATGATTTTTTAAAGATAGTACATGATTTGGAAAGTATTTCGGTTGAAATTGCTGATGAGGATCAGGCTGTGATTTTATTAAATTTATTACCTAAATCTTATTCTAACTTTGTGGAGACTTTGAAATATGGGAGGCAAACACTAAAGTTAGAAGAGGTAATAGAAGCAATTTCGGCTAAGGATGGTGAAAACAGAATGAAGGATAGGCATAGGAGATGCTCTTAGTGTTAGGGGAAGATCATAAAAGAAAAACTAGAAAAAGGAAGGTCATAATCAGGGTAGAAATAGGTATAAATCTAAATCTTGTTCTCGGAAGTGTTTCTATTGTCATATGGAGAGACACTTTAAAAGAGATTGTCTTGAGAGGAAAAAGAAGAAGAAATTAGATAAAGAGAGTGAGGGAGGGAGTGTAGATGTAGCCACAGAGGGTTATGATAGTTCAGAAGTTTTGGTTATTTCTTAGGGTAAATTAAGTGAGGAGTGGATACTTGACATAGGGTGCACCTATCACATGACACCAAATGGAGAGTGATTTTGTTCTTTTCAGGGTCTAGATGGTGGTAAGGTTTTGATCGGAAACAATGTTGTTTGTGAAATAAAGGGTATCGGCAATGTTAGACTAAGTTTGCATAATGGTCTAATCAAACACTCACTGATGTTAGATACATTCCTGATCTGAAACAGAATCTAATTTCTCTTATGATATGTTTACAAGTCCTAAAACACCTGTAAACATGAGTGGACAAAGAATTGCAAGTCCTAAAAACACTTGCTAATTCGGTTGAATTGAAGAATTTCACTCCAAGTCCTAAAACACTTGGATTGTGAAATGTGGAAAGCAATGAAGGATATTCGGCCCAAGCAAGTTCCAAGGAGGGAGAGAGTCCAAACATTTCGGCCCAAGCCACTCCAAGTCCAAGCTCAACAAGGGAAGCTCAAGCCCACCAAGAAAGAAGTCCAAGTGTTGAAAAGATCCAATCCAGCCCAAGTCTCATTCCAAAGGGGAAGATCCACATGAACCCTTATTGGATCTATTTGCATGATTCTCAAGGCCCAAATTCTTACACTCTTATTAGTAGACTTAATTAGGATCATTGATCAAGTTTTGATCTAATGGAAGTAAGTTATTTCAACTAATTGGGTGGTTAAAGACATAGATCCTAGAATCAGGGAATTATGTCTCTTTTGCATTAAATAGGCATGGCCTTGCTTTTCGAATAAATGGCTTGTAATGTTAGTTAAGTTTATTTCATTTTATTGTATTTGTCAATTACTTGTTTATCCTTGTATTTGCCTATATAAGGGCAACTATTTCATTGTAACAATTAGCTTTTGAAATATATGAAATTGGTTTATCCATTTGAGAGAACTTTTGTGTTCTTGAGCGTGAATTCTTTATCCAAGTCTTGGTAAGAGATTTGGTAGTGAATTAAGTCAAGTTGGTGAAACAATCCTTTATACTTGAAGTGCTATTACTTGTCTTGGTCCGAAAATTACAAGTATTTTGAACTCTAATATTTGTGTTGGCCGAATTTGCTTAGATTTGTGGTATGTTGTATTGGTTGGAAATTGATCATTTGGTGTCAGACCATAGGTTGTGAAGTGGAGTAGAATTGTTTTAGGGTTGAATTTGTGTAGTTTGGCCGGAAATTGAGTTGGAGTTACCGGATTTGGAAGTGTTTTTTGGCTAGAGTTGTTTTTCCCTCTCATTTGCATATCATTGAACTTTTTCTCTTTCCTCAAACACTATTACCCTAACCAACTCCCTTACATCTTGTTCCCTTCTAACCAAGTCCATTACCACCTCACCCAATCCTAACCAATTCCCTCCCAATTCAACTAAACTCATTCCTTCCCAACCAAACCAACTTTAACCCTTAACCAAACCCTAAACACAATTAATTAGCCTAATCCCTACTATTCATAAACACTATTCATAGATTACTATTCACTTCAACCAAAATCACCAAAACTTATACACTTGAACTTTCCCTCCCATTTTTCACTTTTCCCATATTCAAAAAAAGTTACTGTTCATCCGAGGTTACTGCTTACAGAACCAAAAATTCACCCAAAACTCACCAAAGTTCATAGCAAACAAAACCCCAACCTCCCCACCTTCACCTCCACCCCCATGAGAGTTTGCTAACCTAAAATTACAAGGTGAAATTGATGAGATTAAGCAACAAATGAATACAATGATGGTCATGATGGTTAACATGTCTAACAACATAGCCAACTTATCCCAACCCAAACCCGTCCATGTAGAAACCCCACACCAACCTCACCAAGAAGGACGACCACACTACCATCAAAGAACCACCATAGAAACACCACCATGGGTGGAAGAGATAAAAGATAGTAGTGCTTCCTCTAGTGAAACCGAGACACCTAGGAGGAGAAGAAGAAACTTTGATGATGATAGGGGTATTAAGATAGACTTACCCGAATTCAATGGAAGTTTTGACCCAAATGACTTCATTGATTGGTTGCATGAGATTGAACGGGTATTTGAGTTTAAGAATTACAATGATGAGAAGAGGTGTAAAGTAGCCATATTGAAATTCA